GGTTATACCTTGGATGGAAGAAGCTCATGAGAAAGTGAAACTAATTAGGGAAAGGCTTCGAACTGCCCAGAGTCGATAAAAAAGCTATGCCGACACAAGGAGAAAAGATTTGGAGTTTGAAGTGGGGGACAAAGTTTTCCTAAGAGTTAAACCTTTGAAGGGCGGAGTAGTGTCCAAAAAGAGTAAAAAGCTAAAGCCGCGGTATATTAGACCTTTTGAAATTTTGAAACGAATCGGAAAGGTGGCGTATCAACTGCAGTTGCCTTCGAGCATGGCCAAGATTCACAATGTATTTCATGTTTCTATGCTCAAGAAATATCACCCCGATCCAAGCCACGTGCTACAATTGGAAGGAATTGAGGTGGATGAGTCGTTAACTTATGAGGAAGAACTAGTTAAGATTTTGGAAAGAGAAGTAAAAGAATTGCGAAGTAAGAAAATTCCTTTGGTGAAGATTCTATGGAAAAATCATGGAATAGAGGAAGCAACTTGGGAACTAGAAGAGGAAATGCAGAGAAAGTACCCCGAACTACTTCATTAGAAGGTGAGAATTTTGAGGACAAAATTCATTTAAGGGAGGGAGGATGTGAGAACCTTGAAAAATATATACATATATATACATGTTGCATTTGCATTTTAGACTCTTAATAACTTTTATCATTATTGGTTCTTGAATAAGTATGTAAAAATAATTTTTAAGTTACAAATAATCTAGTTGTGCAAAATATTAAATTATTTGAATTTTTGCCAAGTTAAGTTAATAGTTCCTAATGTAGGTTATTTTATTTCTTTGATTTTGATTCTTTGAATTTCGATAGCTAATTTTAAGTGTTAATAACGTTAAGTGTCAACGGGAACCTAGAATTAAGACGAAATCGATTTTAGATCAAAACCTTTATAATTACACTTAGGACGTTGAATCTCGATAATTGAATTTTTGCGAGACTAGTACACTAGTAGGCTATCGAATTTCATTTGGGGTAAAATTTTGGAATTAGTTTACGAATGAGAACTTAAGTGGAAGGTCGAACAAGTTGTTAAAAGACCAAAGTAGCCTTCCTCCATTTCAAATTAACCATGCAGCCATGGAACCTCTTTAAACAAGCTTCGAATTCAAGCATTTCCATCCTTACCGGTTCCATTCTTCACACCAACATCTAACACTTTCATCTAGCCGGTCCCATTTTCTTTTTATCTACTCCACCATTCCATCATTCATAATGTCGGCTCACACTCCACTACCACACTCTCCTATATCATTTCCAATCCACCACAACATCAGCCTTCCATTTCCTTTTTCTGCTGCAATCCGAGAGTGATGTGAGAAAGTGAGAGAGCCGAACTTTTATTTCTTTCCTTTCTGTCCGTGAGCTATAAAAAAAAAAAAGAGACTTGTTGTTCTCATCCCTTCCATCCGTGAGCTGGTGAAGAGATTGAGTGCCAAACTTCCTCCATTCTAGTCGCAAGCTTGAGCAAGGGAGAGTTGGCGAGCTGCATTCTGGACTGCCGAGAGGAGAGAAATATTTCAGCTGCTAGTCGTGTGTGTTGAGCTTCAAGTTGAGGTAAGTTCTGGACCTAGACTACTTGATTAGAGGTCGATGATGTTGATTATAAGCATGCATGTGGGGGTTGTGCGGTTGGATGACAAATTAAGTCACAAGAAATCTGAATGTGAAGGAATTGGAGTTGCTGAGTGTGTAAGCTGGAAATTTGTAGCTTTAATTGGCCAATTTGTGGTAATCTGAGTTTAAATATGGGTTTAGCTAACTAAAAACTGGATGATCAAGCTTTGCATGAGGTTAATCAACCTTGATTAAGCAAGAAAATTGAAAAAACACAAAATCTGCTTGCATGCAAGCCAACCGAGAGCCGACTTGGATGAATTTCTGGTTGATTAGTGATTTTGATGTTGTCCGACCTTGGTTTTGGATCAAAACTGATAGATAGCTGTTTATTTGGTCATGCATGTAGCTGATGAACCGTGATAAAAAAATAAGGGGAAAAAAATCTGAATTCCTAGAGTTATTTGCTGGAATTTTTTTCCAGATTGTCCGAGGGAAGGAAATGGTGAAGTTCCTAGCTATTTTTATGAATTTTGGCTTTGAATTCCTATGTTAAATCGTAATATATATCATATATTGGCTTGATCTGAACATGCATGAAAGCTTTGCACATAAATTGAGGATGTTATTGGAGGAAATTGTGTATTTGGCTGACTATTGTGAGAAATTTTTTTTCCAGCATGGCCGAGTGAAGGGGGTTGAACATTTGATCAGTTTTTCTTCGAGTTTTAGCTAAGATTTTCGTACTGGATGCTTAAAATTATCTTGTAGCCTGCTAATCACCTTTTGCATGTTGAGTTGGGGTTGAAATTAAAGGAAATTGTGAAGAAATTACCGTGTAGCAAACTGTTTTATTGCCGAATGTGGAAGTTAGCTGATGACAGAATTAGTTGTGGCTTTTGGTTGAGTTATTCGTTGAAACTAGATGTTAATTGCTTTGGTGTACGCTGGACTGAATGTACCTTCAGTACTTAGAGCTTTAAGCAAGTGAAAGAATAGAATTTTTACTTAAAGCTTGAAGTAATATTGCTGGAAATTGTATATGGTTGCTGGCCGAATTAGTTGAGGCTTTTGGTGAGATTATTTTTCTGGAATTGTGTGTTATTTGTTTTGGTTTAGGTTGGACAGATTATGAGCTATGTGTTTAGTGTTTCAAGCAAGTGAAAGATGGGGATTTGATGGACGTCTTGAATTGTCATTGCTGGAATTTTTCTTGGTTGACGAAACAAGGGAAAAATCTGAATTTCTAGAGTGTTTATGAGTTAAGCTAACCGTGACTTTCTTTTATGTTTTGAATTAAATTTCTGGTTGTTTGATGTAAGGAATGATTGTTGGATGCTAAGAGCTAATGATTGATGAAGCTCTTGGCCATTTGAGTAATTTGTACAAGAGTTAAATTCTTGGTGAAATTGTTTAAGTGGTTCGACCGAAATGTACTTGGAAGGTCCATGAATTGTGATTTGGAATTGTTTTGATATCTTGGAATTCCTTTGTTTAATTCTGATTAGAATTGAATCTGTTGAGACCTAGGGCTAATGATTGATGAAACCCTAGTGAAATTGATGTTTGAATTGTGTTTTTGCTATATTGGTGCCTTGGAATATAATGTGCAAATGAATTGGAATCGTGAAGTCCGTTTTGGTCCTGTGAATTCGAGTGCTTTTGACCAAGCCTTATTGAAATATTTTGTCCTAATCTCGAGCTATAGAAATTGAGTATAATACGATAATGTTAAAATTCAAGTGTCGGGATTCTTTTAAAACCTTGCTAACTTGTTGATTCTTTTCTTTGCTTAAACTAGCTTTATTACTTTTAAGAAATAATTGCACTAACTTCCAAACTTTAAATTTTTCATAAAATTATTCCTGGCTAGTTGTTTTAGAGGAAAATTGTTTAAAACACTAGATTTTAATAATTTTAAATGAAAGGTATAGAAAACTTGTTTGGCCAGAAAACTTGTTTGAATTAAATTGATTTTAGTTACCCTCTAGAAAGAAAAGTATCTTTAAAGAAACCATACGGAATATTCTATCACTTTTATTAGTTTAATTTTAGGAGAATTATTGATTTTTCTGAGAAAATAAACTAGTTATATACCAGATAATATTTTATATATAAACCAAGCGTTTGTATAGTAAAACTTATAATTTTTAAACCAAGCGAGGACGTGGACTTCGATTCCCAGCTTGACTTTTGAGCTTCACTTTTGGTGAGTGTCCGTGCTTGTTCTATGATTAACTTGTTAAAGTGCTTTCTTGACTTGTTAGGTGATAATTGAAAAGTGGTTTTTCTGATCCATCGAAGTGGGCAGTGTGTACTTTATCGCGCTAGCCCTTTCGAGTGGTGAATTTCTTGAAATCTTTTCTCGACTATCTTGCTTACACTAGTTAAGTACTGAGTGGGGAAATGTACCACACCTGAGGGTGGGAGGGCCTCTTATCCTAACTCAAGTACCAAAAATCGTGAAACCCCAGCTAAGTACTGAGTGGGGGAAAGTACCATACCTGAGGGTGGGAGGGCCTCTTATCCTAACTCAAGTACCAAAACCTTGCAACTGTTGACTGGAGCGTGGACTCGTCAACTAAACCACCAGGCAGGGGAATGTATCACACCTTAGGGTGAGAGGGCCTCTTATCCTGACTTGGTAACCACTTGTTGTGACGTCACTGGGTGAATCCCTCGACTAAGCTTTAAAAAGGTATACTCGAGTAATACCAAACCCTCTCGTGAGAAGGACGGGCCCGGTGGGAGTAAGTTGGTTGGAGCGTGTTAAGGAAAAATAACGAATCTACATGGACCCTAGATAGCGAGAGTTGACGGAGGGTCAACTGCGATTAGTTGTGATCAAGCTTGTGGAAAATGGCTCCTGAGAGCCCTGTATCCTACTCTGTGCTGTTAAACGCTTTCCTACTTGTTGAATTTAAGCTTGGAGTTATTATTTACTATTTGTTTCATATGATTGCATGTTTGGGACACCACTGAGTTTTGGCTCACCCCACATTAATTATTTTCCTAAACAGGTTTGGGCATTCGAGAGACTTGAAGTCTGCCTTTAGCTTTTGTAAATGTTATTTCGGATAGGACTATGTATCTTTTGTCTTGGGTTGTCACTTGAAGCTGGAAAAGTGCAAACCCTAAGTTTTGGCTTGTATGAATGTATTTGAACTTTACAAATTCACTTTGTGGTTTGTGATGTATAAATGTAGTTATGTGTTAAACTGGTTGGAGGTGTACTTAAGAGTGAACGTTCGGACGTCCAATGGAAATGTTATCTCTGAAGTTAATGTGTTCCTAGTATTCGGGTCATTTAAAGATTTGGTTTGTTCGGGTGACGAATGTTGTTTTGGAATAAGTTATACGTGGAAAGGGTTTAGTCAGTTTCCTTGCGTGAGTCCTGACGAGAGTTGGGCAGGCGACCCGCCAACCCTCTGGTTCGCCTTAGGGAGAAGTGGGGCCGTCACATGAATATGGCCACGGAGCAGTCATACTATGCAATTCTGTAGGAGGAGCACGTATAACATCACCATGCATTTGACACTTGACACACTTTCTAACAAAATTTACACAGTCATGCTCTTTGGTAAGCCAAAAATACCTCGTTCTCATGATTTTCTTACCCAGTAGATGCCCATTCATGTGTGGCCCACAAACCCCACTATGCACTTTATTCATCATATAATCGGTTTCCTCTTCATTGATGTATCTCAGAAGGCCCAAATCAGATATTTTCTTGTATAGTACTTCTCCATTCAAGAAGAATCTTGATGACATTCTGCGTAAGAAACTTTTTGCAACAGAATTAGCATCAAGAGAGTAGGATCCCGTTTTCATGAATTTCTTAATATCATTATACCAGGGGCAAACATCAGAGACCTTTTCCATAACCAGAAAATGCGCTGGCCTATCCTCAAGTTGAATTTGTATAGGTTCAATCACCAACTCATCTGGATCTTGGATCATCAAAGACAGAGTGGCTAAAGCATCAGCAAAGGCGTTACGAGTGCGGCGAATATATCTGAGTTCCAAATTCTTGAATTTGCTGGCCAAACTAAGCAAGTTACAATGATACAGCATAATTTTTGAATTCCGAGTTACCCACTACTTAAGCGTCTAGTGCACAAGTAAATCAAAATCACTGAATGCTATCAGGTCCTTGATCTCCATGTCTAATGCCATTTTCAATCCTAAAATACAAGCTTCATACTCGGCCATGTTGTTGGTACAAGAAAACCGTAATTTGGCAGTACCAAGATAGTGTTTCCCTTCAAGCGACAATAAAATTGCTCCAATTCCAGCTCCAAAAGAATTCGACATACCATCGAAAAATAACCTCCATCCAGGATACTGCTCACTCATGTCCTCAACAGTTCCAATGAACAGAATTTCTTCATCAGGAAAGTAGGTATGCAATGGCTGGTAATCATCCTCTCTTGGATTTTCTGCCAAATGATCTACTATGGCTTGTCCCTTGACTGTCTTTTGTGTTGTGAAAATAATGTCGAATTCAGAAAGGATCATTTGCCACTTAGCCATACATCCCGTGGGTATCGACTTTTTCAACAGGTATTTTAGAGGATCAGAACGAGAAATCAGGTAAGTGGTATAACCGATCAAATAATGTCTCAATTTCTGAGCTGCCCATGATAAAGCACAATAACTTCTCTGAAAGAAAGAATAGTTGGTCTCATATGCTGTAAATTTCTTGCTCAGATAGTAGATAGCTTGTTCCTTTCTCCCAGATTCGTCATGTTTTCCCAGAACGCATCCAACAGACTCATCAAGAACAGACAAATACATAATCAGAGGTCTTCCTGACGGAGGTGGCACTAAGACCGGAGGATTTAACAAGTAATTCTTGATCTTATCAAAAACTTGCTGACAGTCTTCATTCTAATCCATCGGTGCATTCTTTTTCAACAGTTTGAACAAAGCCTCACAGGTTGAGGTTAACTGTGCAATGAATCGGCCAATGAAATTGATCTTTCCAAGAAAACTCTTCACATCTTTTTGACTTTGTGGAATAGGCATATTTCAAATTGCTCTTATTTTCACAGGATCTATCTCTATACCCTTTTGCAGACAATAAAACTCAACAATTTGCTAGCTAGGGCTCCAAAAGCACATTTTGCAGGGTTTAATTTCAAATTATATCTTATCAATTTTTCAAATAGCTTTTTAAAATCAACCAAATGGTCCTCGACCTTCTTTGATTTAATTATGATATCATCCACATAAATCTCCATCTCTTTATGGATCATGTCATGGATCAGGATAGTCATGGTCCTCTGATAAGTAGCTCTAGCATTTTTCAACCCGAAAGGCGTCACTCGATAACAAAAGGTTCCCCATGGGGTGATAAATGAAGTTTTCTCTCTGTCTTCTTCTGCCATTAAGATTTGATGATATCCAACAAAACAATCACCAAAAGATTCAATTTCGTATCCAACAGTATTGTCCAAAAAAATATGAACATTTGGCTAAGGAAAATCATCTTTCGGACTGACCTTATTCTGATCTCTGTAATTAACACATACTCGCACCTCCCTAGATTTCTTAAACACTAGCACAGGATTCGAGAGCCAGATGGGATAATGAGACATCACGATTATCTTGGCATTGAGCTGTTTCACAATTTGTTCCTTTATCTTGAGACTCATTTCTAGTTTAAATTTTCATGGCTTCTGTTTTACAGGTAAAAAATTTGGATCAGTTGGCAACCTGTGAACCACGATATATGTAGAGATTCTTGGCATATCATCGTATGATCATGCAAAAATATCTTGAAACAATATTAAGAACTCAATCATTTCCTTCTTCTGTTTCTTATTCAAATGAATGCTGACTTTAACTTCTTTAATCTCCATCTTAGTGCCAATATTGATGATTTTTGTTTCTTCTAAGTTGGGTTTGGGTTTCTCTTCATACTATTTTAAATCCCTTGAAATGGACTCAAATTCTTCCTCAGTATCGCTCTAATTTTGAATTTCAGATCGCATGATTTCAAGTTCATAAGAGATATCGAGGTTGCACCCATCAAATTCCAAAATGGTGACATCCAAAGGGTTAGAGGGTTTTATTTGTGGCCATCTGAAAATAGAATAGAACATACGTAATAAATAAATAGAAAATACAGGAGAGGTCTTCCATTTCAATAAATTCAAAATGTCACAAAAGATAAATATACAGACATGATTGCTATTTAAAAATATATCTAGCCCAAACCTTTATTTCCGTTTCAGCAATTTCCTTGAACAAAACAAGCTATATTAACTGAAACGAGAATAAAGGTTCAAAAAATGAAAGCAATTTCTTTTAACAAAAGATCCAGACTACCGCCCTATCTAGATATGAATCTAGACAAAAGACAATCCCCTTAAATTTATCGAAATTCCCTTCGAGAGGGAAGATAATTAGCAGTCCAATTTTGGATAGCTCCTTCGGTAATTGACAAAAATTATGAATTCTTTGATGGCTCCCTCCCACAAATAGCCCCGACATATAATTGAGATAAGTCCACTTCAACTTTTTCAACAGAAACCTCCTTTTCTGACGAAGCACCTCTGACGGGCGAGAAAATGTGTGATATAGCGGTGGGACATTTAAGACAGTTTGCCTACCATTTTTTTTAGCTTGTTTTCGAGCTTGCATTTCTCTTCTATCCTTAGCAGTTGGATAAAATCCTAGTCCAAATGTATTTTTTTTGCGTCGGGATCTCTATTGGGTCCAAAATTCCTTGCAATTCCTGTCCAAGACCTTTTCTTATTTCGTATCCGTCTCGAATCATCTCCTTAGCCATCATGATGCTGGCCCCTGGTAAATCTAGTTTAGTTAGCGACTTATCTCTGGACACCCATCCCACGGAGACGATATCAGCAACATGATGAGATGAAATTGGGGTCTTCTTCCCGTCGTCACCTTTGAATTTTGCATCAACGATCATGGTACAGTCATCCTCAGCAAATATAGTAATAAGCTGATCATTCACGATAAATCTCAACATTTGATGTAGAGAAGATGGCACTAAATTGGAAGCATGTATTCAAGGTCTTCCAAGTAAAATATTATTAACACTAGAGAAATCTATGACTTGTCAAGTTACTTGGAATTGAGCAGGGCCTATCTTCAATACCAGATCTGTTTCACCCATAGATTTCCTCCTTGAACCATCGAACCCTCTAACCACAGTTGCAGACCGATGGAGTTTAATGTCAAGAAATCCAAGCTTAGTGAGAGTGTTTCATGGACAGATATTCAACGTTGGCCCATTATCCACTAAGACCCTCGGCAATAGCTTTCCATTGCAGCGGACTGATATATATAAAGCCTATTATGCCCAATCCTTTCTGCAGTCAGATCGTCATCGGAGAAGGCGATATGATTAGCAGCAAGTACATTCCCCACAATGTTAGAAAATTTATCAACAGGAATATCTTTAGACACTTGAACTTCATTCACGATTTTGAGTAATGCTTCTTTATGTAACTCGGAGGTCAAGAGAAGATTCAGAAAAGAAATCTGAGCAGGCATCCTATCCAACTACTCTACTATTTTGTACTCGCTTCTCTTCAGTATTTTTAGAAAATCCATAACTTTCTTTTCAGACACAAGAAGTTTGGGCGTCAGAGAATAAATTTGGCACTGGATTGAACATCGATTTCGGAGTTTTTCACGATTCTCCCAGACCTAGTAATAGTAGATACCTTTTCCTTCAAGCATTTTTTATATCCAATCAACAGAATAGACTTCTCGTAGTTCCATGGCACCTCTTGCAAGTTATTGATAGGCATTTGTTTCAAAAATTTGAGGATAATAGGCTGTGATATGTCCCATTCAAAAGATGGTAAATTCAGAATAAAAGGAGTTTTGAAATTGTCAACCTCGGAAGGCCTCCCTTCTACTATAAATGGCTACTCTTTTTCAAACACAAGAGATTTCAATTTTTCCTTAACATTATCATTAGCCATGGACTTTTCAGTAGACAGTAGTTTTTCATTCTCGCATGGTCAGTCTCCATTACGCCAAACACCTCAGTTTCATCTAAAATGTACTGAGTGGGATCAATAAAATTTTCATCAGCAATGATAACCCCCACAGTACTCCCATGCTCAGGTAAAGGATTCTTACTGACATTCGGTCCCTGTTCTCTCTTTCTTCTAAGAAGGATGTCTTCAGAGTCAATCATATCCTGAATCTTGTGCTTTAGAGCCCAACAATTGCCAGTGGTATGACCTGGACTTCCAGAATGATAAGCACAGATTGCTTGTGGATCATAGCTGGCAAGAAGACCTTTAGGATAGAGTTTGGGAGGAACGGTGCCAATTTTTCCAGCTGCCTTTAGTTGCTCATACAATTGATCAATAGGTCGGCCCAAGTTAGTGAAAGTTCGAAATTACTTTTGAATTTGAATTTCACTGGTTTGAAAAGGATTTTGAGAAGGGTTATTATTTTGCAGGGTTGATCTGGATTGGTAAATGGGACGAGGGTGATTTTGAAAGATAGGTTGTGGGATTGGAGGTAACGGTGAAGTATTCAAGTGACTTCGTCGGGAATAATGGAATTGGGTAGTAGTGTGGTAAACTGATTGAGGGTTAGGGTAGTATGGATAAGGAACAAAATAGGTGAGATGGTTTTGAATTCTAGGTCTGAAAGATGGGCCTTGATCCCATATAAAAACCGTTTCTCCTTCTTTCTTCTTGAATGGGGGCTTTTTCCCATTCTTGCTTTGATTCTGTGGAGCATCCAATTGCAACTTTAATGTCGATACATTAACAATCTTCCCTGCTTTGATAAACTCATCGTACTTCTCCAACTTGTTAATAATGGCAGCAAATGAACTTCCAGTCATGCGAAAGATCTCTCTTCAAAGTAGGATGGATCATGAGCCTTGATGAAAGTACAAACAATCTCCTTCTCAGTCATAGGAGGCTCCATTTTGGTAGCTAACTTTCTCCACCGCTTTGCGTAGGTCTTGTGATCTTTCGACGGCTTTCTTTTCGTACCCTCCAGTATTGTACGTGTCGGTGCCAACTCACAATTAAATTCATATTGCTTCACAAAAGTTGTTAACAGATCCA